TTTTCAAAGTCCCAGGTTTGCCACCCATAATCCATCTTTACTCAGTTTCCCTAGGAAGTAAGCTGCAGGAGACAAGTACGGCTTCTGTAGTGTGAAGAGACTTAAGTCAACTTCCTTGAACAGGGATCATTAAGAGGAGGAGAAAAAAAAAACCCAATCTATAGCCAGGACTTTATTCAAAGGGCTGTGATCTACTGGAGCTGTAAGGCTAAAAGCCTGATGATTTTAACCGGATGGAATGGAGATAAGGACTTCTCCTGAAGGGTCTTTTATTCTGGAGCTGATCTTCCCTCTCTATTAGTTCTACAACACAGACTATCTTATCTTCAAAAACTTCTTCAGACACTTCTCTTTCCAGCTTTTTGGCAGTGGTAATTTACCAGATTTTTAAGATTTTTCTCTGGTGGTGATATGGATTATATTACTAAATTGAACGTCCTTATTAATAATGGTTTAAAATACTTATGTGCCCAGAAGGACGCATTATAAGTACAAACAAACAAATAATGGCAAATTGTGAATATAGGCTACATGCAGTCTCTTCTTTGTTTTGCATTTATATCTACATATTCCACTCCATCAAAATATTAGACTGCAAGATTTTAGAGGAGCTTACTTAAGATCAGCATAGTACACTGCAGCTTTCATTTTCAGAATCCTTTAGCTTGCTTTTCATATTGCTTCCAATATTTTTTAGAAAAGGGACCTCTGATGGTGAAGAAACTCAAACACTGGGTGCTGAAATGTACTTTTCCAGAAATCACTTTTTCAACTGCTCTACTTGTTATAATGGTAACAGGAACTATTTCTATAGTTTGAATCTGGACTGTTACCAGGCTGCTGTGCTTTGGCCTGACTAGGTTGTCCTTTTCAGTTATCATTTTGCATAGATTGGGAATTTGTTATTTGTCTTGTTCACAAGTCGTGAAAACACAAGATGAGCAGCTTCTAAACAGCACTTGCTTCATCTGTTGCTGGGTCTTTACTCTGTGGGGAACACAAGCAAAGACTTGAGAAGGGTTCAGATAATAGTGATAGTGTGGAGGACCGACAGAGAAGAATTCATTGATACAATAAGGTTGGACAGACTTTCTGTAGAACTGGACTCTGTTTCTTGAAGGGTCCTTAGTGCATGAACATTGGAGTCAGCAAGCTTGTCTGTCCAAGGAAATGGGTTTGCAGCAAGTTAAGTTGGAATTATGGTGCAATGGAAACCCTTCTGTAACTATTTATTTGATATTTTTTAAAAGTGGTAGTCTCCTTTCCTTTCAATGTAAAACAATTTATCTTGTGGAAGGCAACTCAACATATGCTAAGAGTGCCAGAACACAGAGCTAGTGTGGAAGCCCAACTTCACACTGTGTAAAGAAGACTTGCATCTTCAGCCTCCTCTACAAAACCTTCCCCTAGAAGAGGCGGTCTTTAAGGAACCCCATGTGGGTCACTTTACAAAGTTTCTTGTAAACTCTCTCCATCTTTTATAAGGGTTATTGAGACTATTTCATAGCATTACTGTTATCTTAAACAAGCTGGGTAAAATGCCTAATTCTCTACTGGCTTGAATTCTGCATAGTTCATTGACACCTCCACAAAGAGAGTGCCACTTTTAAGAATTCTGCTCTTTCCTAGAACAGTGATAGGGTTTTGCAATCACTTCTACTCTTTGCAAGAGAATAAATGAGTGAACAGTATGGAAAGAGGAGAAAGCCATCCTTAATTTTTTATCGGTTTTTTTTGGTGCTGGTGAAATAGAGAGACAGTGGGCCAAAATCAAGGCTTAATTTCTCCTCTAGAAAACTGGGACAACTATGCTTGGACAATTGCAATTTCCATACAATTTAGGATTTGACTCTACTCTTCCAATCCAGGATATGAACAGATCACATAAGCAGACTCACTTGTAATTATGATTTAAATGATTTAAATTTTGATTCCTTCATAGAGTAGTTAAAATATAGTTAATCTAGTCTACCATAAAGTGACTTTCCTGTCTGTTAATCTTATTTCAGTTCTGGTAATTTATTTTTCTTCATTTAATGTAACTGATATTTATTTGGATATATTTATAAGATCAGACCCTCCATATGCAAGAAGTATATCATTCCATCTTGAAAAAGACAGTTTATGGGCTATTTCTATGATGTCTTCCTATTAGAAACTGTATCCACTAATGTGAGCAGTTGTAGTCCTATTAAAGATATGACAGGTTACACAGGATTGGGCTAGTGATTCACCAGGAGCAACAAATCTCACCGTATTTTTTTTCTCATATAATTTGGAGGTACAACATTTGAATTTCCTTTCATGGGGTTATGGAACAAATTAAGGAGGCACCAACTCTTACAATTTCAGCTGCTGATTAGGGTGAGAGGGCAATGGGAGCTTTAGCTAAACTTTCCTTTCTTGGGCTGCTACTAGCTTTTTAAAACCAGGATAATAATAACCTCTTCAAAAGGTCCATTGATTTAGCATGTAGGCGACTCCTACTGAGGATGCTCACATACAGGAGAGAATGTATATGCAGATAGACAGGAATTTGTCCATACAGAGTGAACTTGTGCTTCTGTGGTTTGAAAAGATGGTGCAGAGCAGAAGTTTTACAGCTCCACGCATCCTGTGCATACACGCATTGCTTTTACATAAAGAGACAAAGATATCTTTATCCGCACGACAGATAGACAAACAAACTGACTGACTTCAAACTTGCACTTTCAGTAGGGATTTTTTCCCCCCATCTCCGGGTACTGCTTTTCAAAATTGCCTGAGGCTACAGTACAGCACCTCAGATCCCCAAGGCCCATTGCCTGGCTCCTAATAGCCACTCTCCATCTGTGTCACATGAACAGCTGATGAGATAGCTCCAGTGTCTGTATTTTGGAGAGCATATCCACCCAGGTTAAAATGCTGGGGTTGCCAAGGAGCAGTCAGAAGCCATTAGTGTTTGTGAGAATTTGCCTTGCAGCAGTTCCTTGGCATAGTGGAAAGTGTGTGTGTGTGTGTGTGTGCATGTGTGTGTGTGTGTGCGTGCGCACGCGTGTCTGTGAGAGACAGAGGAGTAGGGTGGATTATATGGAGGGGAAGAGAGCAGCCAAAAGGAGTGCTTTCTAAATAACCAATTTATTGCAAGAGTGAACAGTTGGTTACAGAGTTTAGAGCTTCCGTAATCTCTTTGATTAGTTTACTATGATTTGGCTCTCCTTTCTCTATCATTAACAGAAAGAAAACAAAACACAAAATAAAAAAAAAAAGGCAAAAAAAAAAAGAAAAAAGAAACAGAGCATGAGAAAGAGAGCAGCGACTTTAGGGTCTTGCTCTGGTGTTTGGGCAGATGGAAAGGAGCTGCTCTGCCTTGGGGCAGCGTGGTTGTAATGAAGTGGCCTGTCAGTCTGTAAATAGTGAGGGTCATCTCTTCCATGTGATGGAGGGTATCACATTGCAGCGAAAATGGAAATGTCAATAAAATTAATCTGCCAGCTCTTTGCTGTGGCTTTTTCTGTTCTCTCCGGTCCAAAAGGGTTGGTTTTTCAGAGGGGAGGCAGTACAAGAAGGGAGATCTGGCGTGGGAAGATGGAGCTGAAATGCAAGTTTTGAAGCAAATGGACTGTATGTAGCAGCAATGTATTTCTTTTAGTAGCACTACAGATCTAGACGAGGCTACAGGAATTAGCTTGTGAATCTATAGCATTCCTCAGGAAGCTATGGACCGTCTAGCTCAGGCTACATTGAGCACAGAGTTTATTGTTTTAGGCTTTCTTGGACAAGGTTTTTACTTAGCATGGGATTTATGGCATTTACTGCTAATGAATGTCTATTCTTAAATTACAAAAACCACCGTCTCAGCACAATTCCCAGATGTCCTTCCAGGACCTCAGCTTCTTAAACACCAGCAGGGAGCATAAACTCTCCACTTCTCTGTTTTCCTCTTTCGTGTGGCTCCGGGCTAATGATGTGTAAGGAAAACACAGCAATCTATAAAGTCTCAGTGCTGTCCCAGTATTCTTCATTTATTTTGCATTTGATTATGCCACAAGTCGGATCTTGTTTCTTTCCTTTTTTTAAAGTTATTAGTTCAAATATTAATGCAGGAATATGGCATATATTGCTGCACTTGATTGATGCCTTCCCAAAAACAGGAAGACGTGCTCGTATGAATTTTAAGAAAGTAGGGGTCCTGCAATGCCTTGCCAGAAGAGTTTTTCAGATACATAATTTAGATGCCCTCCAGGCAGGCTTTCAAGGCATTTTTGCTGGAGGGCAAGAAAAAATAACTATGACTGTTAAAAGTAAATGATTTTTGCTAATGCACAATTAATGCCAGGAAAAAGCACAGAAGAGAAAGATGTTGATGGAAAGTTCTGATTAAGTGAGAGCTCTACCTTGATGTGCATCTTTTCTTTTAATGATAATAATCACTGATGCAGAGACGTAGAAGTTTTCATGTCATGCAAATGCTATATGCAGGGTCATGCTAGGTGTACGTGTTTGCGAGTGCGTATGTATGTGTGCCGGGAGGTGATGGTTACGGGGAGTGGCTCATCTGACAGTGTGTTATGTGCACTGAACAGTGACATGGTTACTGCCACCTCTGCAGAGAGCCTTGAATATATAGACTACAGAACATTTAACTTGATTACTTATACGTATATATTCAGAATGGTTGTAGGGATGCATTTACAGTAAATGGGTTTTCTTGTGGCAGGTTTTCCCACATTGAATCCGATAATTGACAAAGAGCTATTGCACTATGTCAAGCACACAGTTATAATTGAATTAATGATATATGCATGTGCGAAACCAAAATTAGTATTTGAAGAGACACAGTTTTTAATTTTTACATATTTGTATCAGTGTTCTTATATAATGTTCTTATACATGTGCCTGATCTAGCAAAAAAAACCCCAAACGAACTGTGGTAGTGACTTGGTACTTAATGGTACTTTTTGGTTTCTATATTTTGTTCATTAAACGTCTCCTCCTTCCTGTTTTTCTCTTTGTTGTAGGAGATGGTTTAGACAACAGTGTAGCCTCACCTGGTACAGGAGATGATGATGATCCAGACAAGGACAAAAAGCGTCAGAAGAAAAGAGGCATTTTCCCCAAAGTAGCAACAAATATCATGAGAGCGTGGCTTTTCCAGCATCTCACAGTAAGTGGTGCCCAAAACCAAAACAGATTTCTATTCATGTGCCTAATGAGGTTTATTAATCATTACTAGAAATCAATTGTCCCCATAATTTTTGGACCATTACTAGGGCTCAGGTTTTGTTGCTTTTTTTCTTCCAGATTTTTTTTCTTGGGTCTTGGAATCATGACAAATCTCAAAGAAATCTATCTATATGTGTGTGTATATATACACACATATACATGCCTATAGAAAGAAAAAGAGAGAGAGTACAACGCCTTAGCATGGAACACCAGCTATATATGAAGTAACCAATTTTGGCTTTGAACTATTCAAAATCTTCCTACAGACAACAAAAGGGGGGGTTCTTGCTTTAGCACATATAAAGTTCTGCCCTCTGGATTGTTTATTGCTGGCCTCTGTTTACACAAACTTCATATGTATGTGGTGAAAGAGTGAGCCCTGGTCCGTGCGTGCTGACATACACTGTGGATGTTAGGGAGTCAAAGGAGCAGCTTGTAAACTTGTCATTGTTACTTTTTTGTGAGAAATATAGAAGGCTTCCAGATTCCCTAATTTTTCAGGAAATTCACTCACAAGTTGTTTGAAGAAAGAGCTAAATAATAATAAATTAATAAGCACCTTTTTAGCTTCTCTTCAAGTCCATTAATATTAAAAACTAGCCATAATCACATTTGGGGGAGAGAGATTAAATATGTGACATAGCAATGCTTTCTGTGGTCTGCCTTTATCCTCTTCTTGCTATTAGTTTTATGCGTTGGTGTTCTGTTGTCATTATAGCTTCACTTAGGCATCAAAACACGGTTCAATAGAAAATCTAGTATCACTGTTTGTAGTTTATTTCATATGGGAAATAATGGAAACTGGTAAAATTATCAATTGATTTTCTTCTTCCTTTCACTTTACAATTGTTTCTCACTTGATAAGGCTTAAAAAGCTAACTATAATTAACTACCTCTTTTTCTACCAAAGTTTTATAAATTTTCACGGTAGCTGATGTTGGTTACTGAGTAATGATTTCAGGACCCGATCTATTTATGATAGGGACTATTGAACTGCTCTGCTAGCGGCACAGCTAAAGGGGGGAGTGACAGATTCACATTTCTAAACCATCATTTTGATGTAAGGACATTAGTAGCAAACTAAGGTGCATTGATCTGGCCTGTGGGGTCAGGATTAGCTGGAATAGCCAGTGTCTCCGCTGGAGTAGTGGTTATTCCTGCCTCCCAGCTATGGCCATTTCAAAGGTCAGGTGCCCTGTACCCACTTGGCTCAGAGGAATTAGACAGAACATGAGTCTCTGGGCTGATTACTTAACCAAAGACAAAATAATGAGTCCTAAGCAAATACTGACTAATTGAAAGGGCTGTAAATCCATTACATATTGGTCAAGGATAATCAGGAGTATTTAATCACTTTTATCTATTCAGGAGCACTGAAGCTGCAACAGCAAAGCCCTGAACCTTGCCATGTGCTTATTATTCTCATCATTATCAAAATTACTTCACAGCTGTTCTTTGCTACATCACCTCAGCTGGAGATTTACTAACCTGTAAAATGTTTTTAATTTGGATGTCGAGTGAGTGTGAGTGGAAGGTTTTTCATTTAGCTGTAGGGTATCTTTAGAGGAGTATTACAGAGAAAAGTAGGGCCACAAATAAGTTTGGTTTATATAGCCGTCTCTGTACTAACTCCATTTCCTCTTATGAAATTTGTGGTATCTTGTTGGGGTTTTTTTCCTGCCTTTCTTTCTTACGTGCTCCTTGAAAGCATTTGACACTTGCTTATTAAACAGTCAACTGCCTCTTGCTTGTCCTGAGGAAAGTCGTCCTGGCTTTTTGAAATCCCTTTTCCTTGTTTCTATTCTTTCTCCTGACCCTCTCCATCCTGCATGAATTAAGGAAATTTGCCACCACTGGTGAGGATGGCCTCACAGAAATCAGATTAAATGAACACGAAAAAGCCTCAAACCTTTTACCATCCAGGCTTTAATGAGTTTGCAGGTGTTGAAAGATTTACTGTGCTGTAATTCTCAGACCTGCAAACTGATAATGGAGACCCCTGACCAGTGCAATGTAAATTCAGAAAGATTCTTGCCATAAACACGTGCAGGGAAGGAAGAGAGCTCCTTTCTTTTAAAGATCCCACACTTTTTCTCAAATTAGCTTGCCCATTCAAAATGCAATGCTGGCTGAGCAAGAAGGGGGAATCTGTGATGTACAATTTTATTGTTTCAAGTAAATATCTTTACAATGGTGGTCCATGATTCAATGTACATTCCTTCATTACTAGTCTAACCTTATTTCAAATTGGTTTGTTCCTCCTTTGTGCTGTATGACCTGTTCATGTATTACAATAATCCCCTGATGTACCCTTTTTTCTTCCTCCCTTTTTTTTAAAGAAACTAATTGAATTATCTCATTATTTTAATTTGTTAAGCAAATGTATTTTACGTCTCAGGATGTGTTCTTAAAGAAGGAGCTGCTTAGGCTTTGCCCCCTGAATGGGCCATTGGTACATTTTGACATTCATGCATTCATTAAGGAGGGGAACATAAAAGAGCTCTGGATGTATTTTTTTTACAAACACCCAACCAGCATGGAGCAACTTTTCCATAAGCCACAGGGGTCTCTCTACATATGTTCTCAACTGCAAGCCATTGTCACCTATTCTGAATACCTCAAAAGGACAAATAAAATACTAAAGGCCAACTGTAGCAATTGTTAGCTGTTAGTCTCAATATGACAAAAATCATTAACCTCTGATTTCCCTGGAAGGAGAGGCAGTGGCAGGCAGTTCATCTCTTACGTCATGGATTAAACCTGAAAGTCCTTTAGACTGTCAAATTCCAAAAGAGTAACTCAGTTCTGACTAATTGTATTTACTTATGATTTTAAATAAAATGCTACTTTTTTTCCTTTATTCAATCGGTTTGCAAACTCCTAAGGCAGTCAATTTTAAAAACTGAATGGCCTAAGTGGCTTTTTTGAAGAGACAGGCACTTGAACTCTGATGTAGAATGAATGTGTCTGACAGGCTGTATCTTTCAAAACAATTTCTAACCCCTATCACAGCTTCCATTTTGCACTAATTTTAATTATATTTGAAATAGGATACACATGCACATTTTTATTGTTGGAAATCAAATGCAAGGAGCAGGAGCTTCTGTTGTGTTCTCGTTCACTTGCTGAGCTCTGTCTTACATTTGGAATTACAACAGTACCAGAAGATGAAAGATCTAAGGATGAATTGGCTGGAAATGTGTATGCTATTTCTGGATAATATCCAGTGTTTAAGAAAGTAGAGGAAATCCTAGTCTAGTAGTATAAGCTTTTCAATAGTACATAAAAATTACAACATCAGAAAGGTAAACCTGACATTTAAGGCTGTTTTTACTTGAGTTCAAAGGTGGTTAAAAAAAAGAAACAAGAAATCTGACCCAAGCCACGAGTTTATTCATAGCTTTGGAAGACCCCTTTTCCTCTACACCCAGGATTCCTTAGTACACTCAATTAGCCTCTCAGACATCTCTGCTTTCCTCCCTCAAGTGCTCCCCTATTTTCCCTGCAAAGAACATATTTGATCACAAAGTGAAAACAGGAAGTGCTCAAATGTATAGACACCTCCAGCTTATGCCAGTGTTGAGATTAGGATTTCTTACCAGGAACTATACAAAGCCAGTCCCCCTCCTCCTATGCCCTTTTGAAGGATGGAGGACCTTTAAAATATACATACATAATCAGAAGAGAGGAAAGATATAAAGGAAGTAATTATACCGTTCTATGGACTTGTACCTCTGGTAGTTCATCCATTTCTACATCACAGTGTGCCAAGGACTACATTTTTTCACCTTCTTTTAGAGAGCTGGTTTATTCTTTGACACTTACCTGGAGTGATGCCCTTTGTTAAAATTCTTTTTTGGTTGTTTCTTTTGTTACAGTCTGCAAGAAGATATGAATCTTAACTAAAAGTACCAGATTTAACAATGGTACCCTGCAAACTAAACCTTTTTTATAACAGTGCCAGATTCTTAGCTGATAGTATTTGGGATGTGTCCACTGAAGTCAGTGTAGTCGAGCTGGTTTTTTTTCTTTTTTTGCTAGCTGAAATTTTGTCTCCCAACACTGAACAGTGTAATTTTAGCCTGATTTCCACAGTCCTATGGCTGAAAATCTTGCTCTTTACACAGTATATTGTAGAATAGATTTTGATTTCATCTGCCTCATTGTCAGGCTAGAGTAAGCTCTCCTGGAAAGTGTTAAAATGAACCACCCACAGCTTTTGTACTTACCTGAATTAATTTTCTTAACTTGTCATATTCAGGTGTCCAGACTGGATAATATGAATAGTCTTACTGAAACAGATTTACTTTTTTCTGTATTTATGTGGGTGTATCTGAGAATATAATGTGAATCTATCATATCTTGATGAATGGTTTATCAAGCCTTTTATACAGGGCATCTATTTTATTTATTCATTAGACTTGATTCTAGAGATGAATGTCATCAGCCAAACCCAGTCTTGAAGCAAATGTTCAAAGAAGTTGAATCCATCCCACCTCCATAAATATCTCCTCCTATATTGTGATTTTAGGAATAATACCCTAAAGGAAGGTTAGGAACATAGCTGGCTATTGCACTCTATACTGAACAGCTTACTTTCATATCAAACTGTAGAAGAACAGCTTTTCTCAGAGATGTGATCTGGGAGAAGGATTCTTCACACTGCTGTTTTTGCTGTACTTTAAAAAACCACAACCAAGCCCAGAAATGCAACAGACCTCTGTCCCATTAAAATGGGATGGGATACTCCATAAAAATACAGGAATGTGAAGTCATTCTGGTGAATTTTACTGCATGTGTTGGACTGCATTGTGACATGTTATACCCTCTGAGGGTACAGAGAGGAGATGGATGATGTCCTCTGATTCTCCTGCAAAACCACCTACGTGTGTGTTCGCATGACTGCCATTTCCACCTCAGTGCACCACACAGTCAGAGAGC